TGTGTGGGTGGGGGGGGGGGGGGTGTTTTGGGGTATTTGTATGGGTGATGTGACTTCACATGTGTCCGCAACAAGTGATAAAGCTCCAGGTTCATGAGGTCAACCTTGAGAAGGAGGGCGACGTGGGCCGGACCGAGGACGGCACTCTGCACTTGCTCTGGGCGAATCCCAGCATGCTGGCGGATTGAGACACAGAGAGAGAGAGAGAGAGAGACCGCGCGCGCGCGTGAAGGTGGGCGTGCATGTGAGGGAGTGGGAGGGAGTGGGGGGGGGAAGTGAGAAGGTATGTGTGTGTGTGTGTGATGAAGAAGATGGGATGATAATGATAGCAAGGATCCAGCGGCGCGATGGTCATGGAACACAGGTGAAAGAAATCAAGATTTGGTAGGGGATCACCACAGCTCAAAGTGACGACACTGTTGTGTTGTTGGGTGATGAGAACCAACATGTCGACTCGACACCAACATACCGCGAAAAGACCACCATCCACGGGTTTGCAGTGAGCACGAAGGTCTTTCAAGCTGTAAGTAGCATTGTGTGCACGTGGTATTGGTGTGAGGCAGTGCATCAAGACAAGGGCACGGTTGGACGTGCGTGCGTCGAGGGCATGGATGAGGCTCGACAAGGGCACACACGCCTGCTGCATGAGTCGACAGGACCACCACCCCCAAAGCTCGCAGAAGCACACCCACATACCGGCATGCGCTCAAGCAAGCAAGCAGAAAAAGGGCGCGTTGCACACCATCGACAGCATCGCATCATTATTGCCGTACCTCTTGAAGAACTTTGTCGAGTCATCGTCGCCCTGACAGAGCATCAGCTGGACACTGGTGCTCATGTTGGGTGAGTGGTGGGTTGCTTGATGTACTTTGTGTGAAATCGCCCCACAAGTGTGGGCGGGCCTACGCTATTCTCAGGGGTGGCAGATCACGCGCAACCCCGAGGCTTGCTTGGGTGGGGTTGTGCGCGTGGACCAAAAAGCCAAGACAAGACGGTCGCTGCAAGGGCACCCCCCGCGGCGATCGTGCTGTCGTGTGTGCGTGCGTGCGTGTGGTGCTTTGTGCCTGTCTGTGGTGGCGGGAAAATGGTGCTGCCTGTGCACAGCAGCGTGCGTCCGCACAACAGAATTTGAAAAAATATGAAAAGATTCCATGCCAATGTAACGGGCGAGGAAGAAGGACACTGGTGGAGATGCTTGACAGCGGTTGTTTGGATGCGGATGTGGAGCAGGAGCAGGAGAATGTGTGTGCCATCTTTCCCGATGTCGTGGAGCGGTTTCAACCACAGGTCAGTAGCGTGTTGTGTGTGTGTGTGTGTGTGTGTGTGTGTGTGTGTGTGTGTGTGTGTGTGTGTGTGTGTGTGTGTGTGTGTGTGTGTGTGTGTGTGTGTGTGTGTGTGTGTGTGGTGTGTGCGGGCGTGTTTCTAGGCATATATTTAGAAGTGTGCGCGTGTCTCTCAGTGTCTAAACTCACCCCCCCCCCTATCTCTGTCTTTCCCCAAACACACAAAAAGAAACCATGGGGGGAGGGGGGGTAGCAAAAATAAAAATACCTCCCTGTAAAAAAATGTAGGTTTGTTAGAGGCTTCATCCCCGAGATATACGCAAACCACTGACTGAGCGAGAATTCAAAGGGATGGAAAAAAAGTATGGGAGAGAAGGAGAGGGGGGGAGGCAGAAAATAGATATCCTGGAATGCATATGTATTGGATATTCGCCCCCCCATGTGTAGATCTGTATTAAATAACATATTGCACCCTCTCTAAATATATAGGATAAAGA